AACGTGATATTTTATCCTTCGTGCCTTCTTTCGAAAACCCACGTGAAAACGTCACCAAGAATCTCGGTGCCCGACAAAAAGCACGCTGAAAAAGAAAACCACGAATCTGTGAGAAATACTTTCAGCCCCAATTTTCACCGTCGCCATAACCATTTAATTAACGCGTGACTCTCGCTCCGTATAATCATCCGATAATTACCAATCACTAACCGGGCCACCACGTAGGTCGCATCTTTTAACAGAGGCACGTAGCGAGGGGGGAAGAGACACAAAGAATTCGTCGAGTCAACGGAGATAATGACAGTTTCTCGTCCGGAACGGAATTCGTAGAGGGTCGGGGCTCGGCGAACACCGGAAGTCGATGTCCCTGCGGTGTTTCGGCGCCGTGCAACCAACTACGCAGTCGTATCGTAGATAATCCATCGGCCTGACGCACCGGTAGCATTCGTAGATGCAGATAGCCACAGGTTACGTTGCAGATCTTCGTCTTCTTCGTCTATCTTCTGCCCCTTTCCCCATCAACTGATCTATGTTCACGATGAAGAGTAACGATTCGCCTCGTTACAATGGTAAAGGACGATCCTCCGTTCGAAGAGCCGCTCCTCCGATTCATGGCATTAGTCATCTCTGCATAGGGTTTAACGATGTTGTCTGACAATGTCTACTACGAGATAGAGAATCGATGGCTGGCAATGTACTCGAAAAGATTGCCGTTTATGGCAACTGAAACTTCCAGCTGGTGGTATTTTCTATAACGTTTAGTGGAATGAATATTACAAAAAATATTATGAAAATTGATGTACACAAACGGCATACAATTTACAAACGAATCTGTAGAAATGTCTTTCATCCGCTAAAAATTATAAAGGGGATCCTCCACTTTCGCACAGATTTCTCATTAAAATTTACAATCTCATCGTAATGTTAGAAACACTTCAATTTCCTTAAATTTCGTAAAATTGTGAAATCTATGTATTGTAATAAATGTCCTTTCATCCTAAATATTGTTTCTGTATATTGTTAGTGCGCATTGTGTACATTGACGCAAGTTTTTTTCTTTCACAAATGCATAAAAATCTACAGTCCAGTTGTGACATTTAAATTATTCTTGGATTTAAGAGAGATAAATTCCTTCTTTTTTTTAACACTCCATGCGTACAACTTTAATCGTTCGCATTTGTGTAGAAACATGGTAAAGGCAATAATACCGCAATAAAACATTGAAAAGGCAAGAAAGGGAGAAGAATGTGCAATTTGGTTACACGAGACCTGGTGATACTATAATATACGTTACTTTTATGTTCCCATAAAATTCTGGACAATTTTATTCCCGACAGTTATTGATACTTTCTCAAGACGATGTACCGTTACAAATTGTATTCTCTATTCGCGACGCAAACATTTGTTTAAAATAACCTACTAGCGGTAAATGATTATTTCAATCCGATAATTGCAGTTACTAGTGACAAAAGAGAAAAAAAATTAAAACTCTTACATACTACATAAAGAGCCTTTGTAGTAAACTTTTAATGACACAACAAATTAAATTATTGCTTCCGAAAAGAATATAAAACACATGGGTTCGCTTCTCCTACTTGTTTCCATTAAATCATTTTAATTGCAATCACAGATCGGATCAGATATATCAAATATGTATTACTTCAATTTACAGGTAATCCCACATTTCAACGACTTCCCAAATTTCACTTTCGAGCTCCAAAGCTCTTTTCTTCGGCACAGATCAACAATAATCCCAATATCAACCCCTCAATCATCGATCACATCGGATTTAACATGCTTCACTCATGACGTCTCCATTTCCAGCAAACAATGTTCATCGCCCCCCTCGTTACTAGCAAAGAAATCAAGCATCGAACGATTCTCTGTGACGAAACATGGCAGTTCATGGTAGTTCATCTCGAGAATTTACCAGATTATTTAGCGGCGCAACAAAAGTAAGGTATAAGGTATGTAGTATCGGCGATAGCCAACTGGCGGTATCGACGGGAGACCTTATTTTCGATGGTATCTGCGAAATAGAAACAAACGAATGGACGGACGGACGGACGGACGGACGGACGTGTATACCGCATTCCGTGTTTATTATTTTGTCGGTGGGTGGTCTGGAGAAGTCCAGAGCCGTCTTGGTGGCCGATAGCATCTCTCGTGTCTCTCATATGCACGCACCGTTGAACGCGGCCAACGCAGTGAACAAACGTGGCGCACCGAGTCGTCTTGCGTAAGGGAAGTAGTCGGACTCCTCTTCTTCCCCCACACGCCCCATTCTCCATTCTCCCATCTCGCCAGGGTTTCTTCTTCTTCCATCTTTCGCCGGGGGCTGGTTTCGGCCTTTTCGTCTCTCTTCTTTCGTCTGGTTACTTCATCGGAATCTATCTTTCCTGAGATGTTATTCCTTTTATCCTTTTTCTTTCTCTTTTTTGTTCATCGTGTATCGTTGGTCATTTTTTTCGTTTTATTGTCGCTTATTGTTCCACGATGTGTCCCCCTTCTTTATTCACCCTTCCCCCAGCCCCTCGTGTATGACATCGGTGCCTCCTTTTGTCCTCGTCGATGCTTCAACGTTTTCTTGCCTTTAAATCGATGGGTTTTTAGTGGTGTTCTTCATCTTGGGAGGTACAAGAAGAAGACCGTGCGTTTCGCTTCGGTTTGTTCTTGTCCGCGTTGGTTCTTCTGATTCTTAATTAAATACGTGCACGTAGTTCGGCTCTCGAGTTGTTACGATTTTTATAGTCGCTAATGAAGAGGATGTAAAGTTGATAAGAGGTGAGGATGAAATAAAGTAACAGGCGGAGGATTCTTTTAATATAGAAATATCCGGAAGTCGTGAAACGGGTACTTCAGTCACGAGGATGCTCCCCTGCTAATTAGTTGTTAAGGCGTTAATTTTCAACGTGTTTTAATACTTGTGAATCGAGAATGATTGTTTGTATGGGACATAAATTCGACGAGGAGGATTAAAATCGAGAAGGAGATTTCTTATTTTATTGATCTCCCTTATATACGACTTCCTTGCATAAATATCTCTAAATTGAGAAATATGTCTATAAAATTTGCGATGTTATATAAATCACAAATTATTTATTGATCATTAATCACGTGTAAGAGTTTCCGACGAGATAACTTTTCTACTTTATCTTCCAAAAACTATACGCCAATTATTGATAACCGAAAGACATTTTCATCACATATGACGGTAATCGCACACAATTTCAATAATAGTTACTGATAGCTAAAAAGCAATTTCCATTGCCAGTGTATTATAATTATCAATAATAAAAGGACTTTCGATCATTTATTTCTGCACGTCGTTGTATATATAAAAAAACAAATAAGAATAGTAAATGTTCCTCTCCGAAAGAATTAATTATGATAATAAATAGCAACAAGAACTGTTAAGGAAACTATAAAATACAGTCTTCTGACGTTTATAAAATCCAAGTAGTCCAACGACTTCAATTAAAAGATGCTTACTTTTTTATATTACTATTTTAGAGTAACAAAATTCATAGATGAAAGCAGAGAGAAGAAAGCCTGTAGAGATGCAACCCGAAACGCAGAGATGCATATTATGGAAAATAGACTCGCAGGGACCGCAGTGCACCGCAGTCGTGTGCTCCGTTTCATCCTGGTTCCGTAGCTATCTCGCTCTCGCACTCATTAAGTCGATGCAGCGTCGGCAAAGATCAAAGCTCGTCTTCTACAGAGGACCGCTTAATACTGGGTGGCGAGTTAAGAGTGTCGTAAAAATTATTAACGGTCCCTCCGCATGCTGTGCCTTATCGCCGGATCAGCAACTGCAGTAGGATGTATTCGTCGAAGCCGCCGCCACAATATGCAATGACATTTTCACTTCTTTTTCGTCATGCTTCGTGGCCTTAATTCGTTAATCTGAGACATTGTACTCCGAAAAATTTATTTCCTCGTTCGGTCGATTAATCACTCTTTCGTCGAAAATTTAATCTATCGAAGATTCATGCGAAAACTTAGAAACAGCTAGACTAAGCAGTGACCAATCTTAATTTAAGGGTCTGTAAATTAAGAAAAGGCTGGTAAGTTTTAACCAATGTTTCACGACACGTTGATTTATGATTGTCGAAACCGCTCGGAACCGATGGTAATGGCCGATTGTTCAGTAGTTTGTAAAATTTCTGAAGGCCTGTACAAACACAGAGGAGAACTGATCGATCATCCGTTATATTTCTACGCGATGTCGTCGCTTGTATCGCACTCCGATATTATGTAACGCCAAATACTTTGTATATTTTCCACGTGATATTATTCAAAATTTTCTAATCGCCAGATATTAACTCTTTCGTCGTTGACTTTAATACGAAGGTTTTACAACGTTATTATATCAGTCTGCTCTTCGAAGATTCGAAACAGTCAATGAAAACTGCCACAAGGTCTCTGGGATCAGAGGAGAAAATAAAAAAGCAGCGACCGTCCGTATCAGAATCGAAAATTGTCTCGTATTTGGTGGAACAGGGTGTCGGGCTCGGTATCGCGGTGGGTGGTCGCGTATTTATACATTACCTTTTTCGATCTGCCAGTTTGTTTCGTTCTCTCCTTCTCCCTCCTATTTAATTTTCTCTGTTCTCGCTGGCTCTTTCTCGCTCTCGGCGTCTCTCGAGCTCTATCTTTCTTTTCACACTGGTTCCTCACCACATGTGCGTTCGCTACAAGTGTGCAAGAATCTCGGACGCATGTGAGTACTGTCCGACGAACAGTTCAGGCGTGCATATATGCGTGTGTAAGCAACAGGCGTGCACGCACACTGAACACGCAAAACTGGACACGGGTGTGGTGTACGACGCCTAATGAAGTCGCATCATTATGCAGATATTATGAAGACAGGTTAATAAGTATAATAAGTTAATCGGTGTAATGTTCTTCCCCGTGGCTTAATGAACGCATTAAAAACAGTTGCCCCCTTCTCTTCTGATACTTTCTTGAAAATTGTGAGCACTGTAATATAAATACTAGAGCTTATAAGGAAATTCTTCATTGGTAAATAGCCGAAGGAGTTATTGAAATCTCGCATATCGTTCGCAAGAAGCGCTTGATTCGATTAAACGTGCAGCGAATAACAATAATAACAATAATAATAAGAGAGAGTGCGGTCGAACCCTACAGTTACGGCCGCCAATCAAATCATAACTAGTGGCAGAGGAGAGACGCGTATAATCAATTATGCAGATTCGCTTCAGTGGCGGTAGCGAAGAAGAGACGGTGAGTGGTGAAGCATTAAACTGCTGTATTTCCGGCCTCGATTAATGTTGCCAGGAGCAGCAGCGATTCCGATCTGCAGAGGCCCGTAAGGAAGTCGTGTTTACGTTCGGGTACATCGGTGGCCCTCTTCCGCTCGTCTTCAACTCTCCGCCGGCACGTCGGCCACGTTCACTGCGCTTCATGAATCGCGTTCGGGCCTTCTCTCTACTAACACAGAGTGCAACAAGCGTATACAAAATTTCTCGAGATCGTGTGGATGCAATGACGAGGAGAGAGCAACCGCGAGAGAGAGAGAGAGAGAGAGAGAGAGAGAGAGAGAGAGAGAGAGAGAGAGAGAGAGAGAGAGAGAGAGAGAAGAGGGAGAAGAAAGAAGGGGATGCTGCGACGATCTAAAAGCTACGTTGTGTGCCTCGTGCGTGTCACGTAGTTACTTCCATGTGTGGGTAATGTTTTTGCTCGAGGGGAAATGGTACCGCGTGTGTGGTCCTCCGTCGTGTTCCCCGCGTACCCTTGTGATGGCACATCGCTGTATCCTAGCAACGTAGAACGCCACGTTGATTCGGCCAATCACGAATGAGATCCGATCGCTTCGGCTGAACTCGGCTTATTTCGGCTCCAACGTCACCGGTACCTGCAGTGGTGTATCGGCCTACCGCGAAACTCGGGATATACGATAAGTCTCTTACGATGAATTCATTCATTAAAACTTTTTCAGCTTATTTACTTATGACAATGTAAACAAAAGATGTAAGAAACAAAAGATATAAGATACTTTGGGCAGGAAGCAAACGAAAGATACGATCTCCTGAAAACGTACGGTGAAAGGATGATTGAAATTTCGAGACTTCGTAGTTAAGAAGCGTGGATAACTTGTGTAATTAATCAAAGATATTAAGTACGAAATTGTTACGCTTACGTTCAAATTTACAGATGATTATACGACACGTGTACATATGAAATATTGTATTAGGCTTGCCATACGTGTTATGAGAGAAAATTATTTCCATAAATTGAATAAAGCGTCGTATTACCTTTTTGAAGTTTTTCTGCGATGTCGTTCGAAGTCGAAAATGCGGAATCATAAATTTACCAAACGAGACCAAGCTCCGTTGAAGCGTGCGCTCCGAATTACGGTCCTGAATGTTTGTGCAGTTCCGATCTCGGCGAGTGGCGCTGTTGGAGGGGGGGCCGTCAACTATGGCCGGCGCAGAAGGCAGGCCACGAAAGAAATGTGGCACCGCATTTCGCTTAGTATGTACGTAGACTGCTCTAAGCGGCGGTCGTGTACGCCGGTGTCCGATCACGACGACGTCGACGTCGTCGTTACAGAACGCGTGTCACAGAGATAGCCAGACTTTAACGAGAGTTTCCAGTTGCCTCTGCTGGACCGTGGAACACTCTCGTACTCTCACGCCGTCTACGTCTCCTTGCGTAAACCGGATGCTCGTCACTGCCGCGCTTATACGAATTCGGTAGTCGCGCGGCGAATTTTTTTTTCCTCACCGCAGTGTAAAAGAATACTCGAACAAGATTCTCCACCGCGTCAGAGTGACAACAATTGTGACAGTGACACTGCAGTGCGTGTGGCTACGTGCCACGCCAGTATATCGTGCAGATAGAAAAGACACAGTGTAGTCATCAGATTGATCGTTGAACGTTCAGACATACAGAGTTCGTTTCACTTCAACTGACGTATGAAAACGCACGTGCGGTGCAAGAGCGTGACTGTTTCCCGCGAAAACATTGAACAATCGGGCGGCACTTTTGTCCGGGTTGTCGCGTGATATTTCAAAACAAGGGAACTCCGCGTGTGCGCCCTCGTGCTTGTCTCCGCGGTACCGTGAGCCCCGCGAGAGGGAGATACAGAGAAGTGAGAGGGAGTACGGAGCACATTCCGTGAAAAAAGCGAGAGAGAGGGATAGAAAAAGAGACAGATCGAAGGGAGGAATCGGTAAGGAGGGATCAGTCACGTATTTACTCTTCTACAGTAAACGAAGCTAACCTAAAAACCGATACTCTGTCCGTTTTGTGCGTGCACCATCGATGGGCACGATACAACCGCGCATGCGCAGAAGAAATTGTGCATACCTCGTGCGCGAATTTCGATTGTCGTGCTGATGGCACGTACACGGTGTTGACAGAATTGCGCGGTAAACAGGGAACACCTATCGAACGTGTGCTGTGACAAGTGTTTCTGGAAAGGTTCATACGGAAATTACGTGTAACCGCGGTTTTCTAACGAGTGTGCAGAGTGAAATCGTTTCTTTTCCTTTGCTTATCCCAATTTTTCTTTCGTGTTCGTTCGTGTCCTGTTCGTGTTTTGTAAGAATCCGTATCGCGTTCGATAGGAATAAGTCGAGAGGATAGAGGGAAACCAAGACGAGAAGTCTGTCGCAAAGAAAAAAGAAAAACGTCACGTTGGAGGGGAGCGATATTAAAAATAATCATACTGCGAATTGTGCCGGGGCGAATGTATGACGGATCATGGTTTCTGCGTCCGGCCCTACAGGGATCCTAGCGGGACGCCCTTCTGGTTCTCAGTGCCTTCAAGGTTCACAATCGTCGCAGAATGGATGTGCTACGAGAAATCACAATGAGAAGAATATTGAGACCGAGGAGAACGCGAAGCAACGACACGAGTCGGATCTTTATATCAGGCCAAGCTGGACCGATGCTTCGATAGCGTTGGATCAGCTCGAAAAGGTTAGTTTTCTTCAATGACAAGTTTCTCTAGTTACTATCGTATAATAATTTTCATATTCGGTATTACTTATTCGTAAGCATGATGTAGAAATTTATGATGTTCTATAAATTAAAAGAAAAATACAGTAACGCTAAAACTCTGTCAACAGAGTTAAAATATCCGTCATTATGTATTTCCCTATATTTTCCACGTCTATAAAATAGAAACGGAAAATGTAGATTAGCTTTAGCTATCTTTCCTTGTTTTTGTAGTCGGAAATTGTCTTTCATAACGTTATAAAAAGAAATTTTCGCAAAGTCAAATACTAATTCATTGCCTAAATATTTCACACTATCAATAACGTAATGATATTATCACTGATCAATGTCAATAATCTCCAGTTAAAGAAAAAATAGATACATGTAGATTATTATGTAATCGGCGAGTAGTAAGTCTCGCGCATAAGTCAGACAGTTCTTAGGTCGGCATACAAGTAGCGAGTGCTTTTCTACGATCATCTGATCGACAAGAGATACGCTCTTGCAGGTTATGCGGGCATTGGTATCTTCGGAAAGGCCGGTTATTCTAACTAGATGTAGTAGATGTAGTAACACCATCACGTGCCACTCGTTTCGACTATTTTTAGAACGTGATAATGCCGCAAATTTCGACCGAAAATTGTGTTATTTTCATACACCATTCGCGAATTACATATGTATGTTAGTTGTACATTCCCTTAAATTGTAGCTAATCGATTCTTCATATTCCCTCGTAATGATACAATAATATTTTGAATTTTAATTTTCGAGAAATGTAAATGAATTCGAGGGATTTAAGTGATATTTAAATCATTAATCTATCATTTTTATCCAGTTCGTTGTTTCGTAGTTTACTTGTAGAGTGGTAAATTAAATATAATTTAGTTTGTTAGTGCAGAGAAAAAGATTCCACAGTTTTTTTTAACACTCTTCTTTCTTTTTAGCAATTATCTTGAAATTTCATGCCTTTGTAATATTTGAAAATTATAGACCAGTTAAGAAATCTAAAATTATTATATAGATTTCTAAAAATGAAATTTTTCCATACCGCGACATGATTATTTTACATAGTGCAGTAGCAATTGGCTTTTCCGGTTGATAGAATCGACGATGCATTAAAAATATAGATCGATTGGAGTTCGGAAACGTGTCTTATCCTTTCGGTGCACTTCGCTACTCCGCTGCGCGCGTATCTCGAGGAGCAGCTAACACAAACGCGTTGTTCGTTTCCGCATAAAGATATCGGAGACGAGGAAGGAATGAACAATGTAGCCGTCGATGTTATCGTTAGAGGGAAGGAGGTCCGAAAGAGTTTATCTATGTAGAACAATGCTTCATAGCTACACGAAGGTTTCGTTCGACGTTCCATAGGAGCGTAACACTCTTTCCACGAACGGCTTGTCTCTCCGGCAGCTAGCTGTAAACTTTCACACACGCGGGTGGTCCCCAGACGTGTTTTCAAAGGTGGAGGTTGATGAAAGGAGGACGTAAAAGATTATGAAGTGTAGATCAACGGAGGATCGACTTCCTGTCGAAGGAGTCCACATCCCCCTTGTTTTCGAACGACCTCTCCTTCTAAAAAAAATCCCTCCCCAAACGACGAAGACGATCTGTGGAAGCGGTGTTGCGACACCGAGATTGTCCCTCGAGATCTTTCCATCTCGAATGCCAGCCAAAATGTGCATGGCACGTGAACCGGGCCCTATCACCTTTCGAAATAGGCTCTTCGAACACACAGCGACCCTCCGAGCTTTCGACAGCAAGTCTTTCATTCGGGTTTTCTTGGAAGTTTGAAACACACACCCAGGTATGTGTCGTTCACCGCCATTTTCTAGTTAGTTGTCTAACCTGATTTTCCTGGTGGATTGAAATATTCCATGGCTGAGGAATATTGTAGGATTGTTATTGGTAATATATATGAAACAAACTAACAGCTTTGTCTGAGCAATTTATTAAGAAAATAGGAGAGATTCATGTAGAGAATAATGTGTATATTAAAAGAATTAAAACTCGATTTTAAAAATTATAAAAATCAACTTGTGATTTCAGTTTATTGATAAACTCAAATAAATAATCAACTTTTAGAAACTTAAAGGAATTAGAAGAAAATTTATTTCTAGATAAAATATATGTGATTAGTTAAATTTCCACGGAGAGCACGATTTACAAAACAAAGTTACAAATTGCGATAAATGTAGAATTTATTTGGCAGTTAATTCGAAGAATTCGAACTTTGCAAATGAAATACAATGTTATTGTAATCTGAAATCAAATGAACGATAACCCTTGTTTCGTAAGCAGCAATGCATTGCATGAGATTCTCTTATCGTTTGTATATCAAACGTAATATTGTAACATTGTCTGTTTTGTAAACCATCTTCTTTCGTTACGCTTTTATTCTCCTATCACTCTATTTTTTATGGAGAAATATTTTTACAGTTAAGTACAAGTGAAGTTTTTGATAATTTTTCATTGAAAAGCAGTAACAATATTAATTTGGTTTTATTAATAAATCAATGTAAAATGACATACTTATTTTTCGATAAAGTTTCTTTTTTTTTTTTCTTTTTTTGTTATTATCAAACTTAAAAAGATGTTCATTTTCAAAGAAATTTTATTTCGTTAAAAATATATATCTGATCTAGCAATAATATTTCTCGTATATTCATAAATTACATATTCCAAGTTTTTCCTGAATGTGGATACACAAGAACGACGAGTTCGCATATGTGAATCGCGATCTTTCTTCATTGAAGAAACGAGTTCTATCGAATCACCATATAGATGGTGAGATTATCTGGAACTATCGTAAAGTAAGAAATACCGCTTTTATTTTTACGTTTCTTCCGAGGATTCCAATTAACAATTTCTTCTGCTTTCCGCTGGAAACTAGTTTTATCGATAGTTTCCACATATTCAGAGTGACTTAAAAAAAAAAAAAGAACATTTTTACTATGAGGTTTTTCTCTGTCGTTTATCGCTTCTATTTTTTTATTCTTTTCTTCTATTAGCCTCTTGTATCCTATATATAATAGGATGAAATTTTTAAGTTTTAGCTTAAAATGATAGTTCAATTCCTTTTTTGAATACAAGTAAAATTATTATGTAATTTACTTATACGTATGTACGAGATGATTCATGAATTAGTTACTACGGTACTTAAATCGGTTTTTCAAAATTGAAAATTTACTGATTCATACGAGAATTTTTATTTTTTTCATAAAAAGATAAAACTGCATTCTTTAAATAAATATTTTTAGCATATTCTTAAATTATAAAAAAGAAGAGAATGTGGTAACATTATTTTAATTTTTGTCTCTATAATAATATAATTTATTTTTGAACTGCAATTTGCATATAAATATGTTCATTTACTTTGAGGACGTTAATTAGGAAACAAAAATATATATTGGTTACAGCAACGAAGAATTCTTGAATACTTAAAAGAGTATCATAATTTATTCATATATTCTTCCCTTTGCATTCGTTTATTCTACGTAACGTCACGCGTAGATACATAATTATGCCGTGAGGCAAAGAATTACATGAAGATTTTCATGTATCCACGTTAATCTACCGTGAAAAATAATGTTCGTACATTTTCTTAAATGCTTATGAGATATCGTAATTTAACGCTGTGTTTTTCTTTTCTTCATCAATTCCCCTTACACGAACCTACGTATGAATGTACGGCTATAGCCGTGGAATACAAAATTGCATCGGAATTACCATTTATTCATGTTAATTCGCCGCGCAGGAGCCACGTTATGATAATGTCCTTAGATGCTTTTAAGATTGTCACAAATCACTCGTTTTATTTCAAAATTTCATTCATCTTTCGTTCCTTATATCTCGCATGATGTGTGCACAGCAAAATAATACTATACTGTGCTATAATCTCGTGTTCATTAATATTGATATAATATTCACGTGGTACTTTCAAATTTTCCAAGGAATTTTATCGGAAGGTAAACAATTTGAGAGGATCGAAACTTGTAGTTCTTCAAAATCATCGTGATATAAGAAAAAGACGTAAGCAAATGTTACTTTTGACGAAGCTCGAAAGATTTTTCTAAATTATCAGAATTCTTTCTTTCTATCAGATATTATTTATCAAAAATTTCCGTTTATTTTACATCAGTCTCTATATAAATACTTTCTCGGAATAAGATTTCGGAAAGTCAAAATTTCAAATTGACTGTCTTCTTTCGAACTATATTTCCCCAAACAGCTTCTAACTAAATATTTTTCTCTCAAATTGTACTGGACAATAACGTGCATCAATCCAAAAATCTTTGATGCTACAACGCCAGAGATGAAGTTGCTGGCCGCCGCCACCCAAGGCGATCGCGGCGCGAATAAATGCTTTATCGTTTACGCGATTGCACAATCGCGACGGTATCGGCGGGAAGTGGTGACAGTGGTGGCCGGTCATTATCGGGACAAGAGAGAAAAAAGAGGGGCACGTTCTTCGGGGTCGACGCTCCACTTTTCTCGTCGGCCTGAAAAGGGAGAGCCGCGTGCGCCCGAGCCGAGCTCTCCTCGTTCAGTGCGCCCCGCGTTCATACCGGATGAGTCAGTCAGTCACGGCCACTGCCCCTACGATTCTCTGCGTGCATACACGTTCCGCGAACCGAACCACGAAACACCCGTATAACCCATTTTCGATCATTTTTCGTACATTTTTTTTTTTTTTTTATTCCTTTTACTGTGCTTTATCAATGCCCCATTTTTATAGAGCGTTGCAAAAAAAATTTTATCATACACTGGACAGATTTAGAAGATAATTATGTTTTTGTTAGGATAGGAATATTTGGGTCGCGTTATGTGTTATTCAAATATTCATGTCGTTTATTGCAGAGTTCAAACACTAGTTATTACATTTGTGGCAGCTTCTTTTTAAGTAAATTAATTCTGCATAAAATTCATAGCGACAGACTTATCGAACTCCAAAAATAACCATTAGCTAATATAAAAGTATT